TAAAAACATTAAAATATACTTCTTTTGTTCTTTCCAGAATTATGTCGAAGCTGTGTTTCCTCATTCTTTGTGTGCCGATAGGTTCGATTTTAAAGATTTGATCAGCAGGTAACTTCAACCAATAGTCCTCTTTTCATTATTACAGTTGGACGTAAAAACGACCGACCTCACTACATGTTTGGGAAATAAACCCCACAAACTGTCCTTTCAACTCCCCAGACCCTTGAGCAAGGTATCCTATTTTCCATAGAGTTTTAAAATATCATTAATAATGATGTAGTTGATAACATTCCCTACACCATGGCCATGACTAGGTTTGTACAGTTGAAATCAATATCGCATAACGAACGGTCAGGTGACGGTTAAAACAAATAACTATTACATCTGTTACCAGTGAATAACTTTAACACCCAAAGAGTTATTTTTCACCCTCGCTTTTATTAATTTATCTTTTATTTGTCAAAATTTTCATTCCAAGGTGCCTTCTTGTCAAACTTACAAATAATCAATGACGAACTTGTTAAAAGAATCGAAATGCTGAATGCGTGAAATAAGACCAACTGGTGTAACATTAAGTGCTTTTATTATATGTCGTAGATCTCATGAGCAGTCTGCTCGACTTACTTATGCATTTCCCGAGGAAAAAACTTATGCACTACTATCGTTTTGACTGGTGAAGTCCTCTAATGATTGTTTCCTTTTTTACGACCACTGCTAAAAAAAGAAAAGCTTTATCGCTTATAGATACAAAACGAAATTATTTGGGGAATTAATCTCAAGTCAAAAAATGTTGCCTTCTCGGAGCAGGTCCAAACAGAAACCATGAAGAACGCTCTGCGCCTTAAAAAAGTTACTGTGATAAACACATTTCCGACTATTTGATTAGTCTGACTAAATAATTACTTTCGAAGAAAAAGAACTTAAAAATTCGATCAACTTAATTAACCAATGACGCTTTCTAAAATATAAATTATATGTTCTCAATATTCGATCGACTACTTAATTCAACACTTTTGAAATAGAGGGCTTTTACGATTTGATAACTGCTAAACTTCCATAAAGAGTACATTGATTAGGTTCCCGCTCCAGGTCATTACACGTAGCAGTTAGATAAACATTTTTCAGAGTGTTTCGCTGTATGTATCATTTTCGTCCCTGATATATAATTTCCTTCCCCCACAGGGAAACAATAAACATTTTTAAGTCTAATCAATAGGATCCACTTTACTCGTGCATATCAAGGTGTAGTTGACTTTGGCCAATTTTCAAAATCAAATGTCACGTTGTCGCCAATGAGCATAAATGAAGCCCACTGAGATACTTTGTCAAAGCCGTTACCTCTCATCCACTTCCTAGCCTCGTGAAGAGATTCACTGGCACTTTTACCGCGGAACAAATGATCGTAGAAGCAACTCATAAACTCTTCTGTTGCTTCATCCTCCAGTGCCCATCGTGCCGCCAACACCGAGCGAGCACCGGATCCTAGGAACGCTCGGGCGATACCAACAACTCCCTCTGCTTTGACCTGTCCACGCGCACTGTGACAACAGCTGAGAACAACCAGTTTCGCTCTCACCTGAACTTCTGAAATGTCCTTCATCGTCAAAAGGTAGTCTTTCTCTCGTGGAGGACAGTCAATGGGGTCCTTAGGACAGAGAACAATCTCTCCTCTATCGGGACTACCATGGGCAGCAAAATGTATCAGGCTCACTGAATTTATCGCTTGGAGTACAGCCTGTTTTGTAGCGCGGTCTCCAATCAAGGGCTTTACGCCAAGACGACTTCCAATCGTCTCGGCTTCCTTTCTTGCACGTGGCAATGGTTCTACTATTGTGCATCTACCTTTGTACAATACCTCTCTAACCTCAGGGTCACCGACTATCAGCGCACCACTCTTACTGTGGTACTCTGGAGGACTGTCCTGAATGAGCTTCAGAGTAGTCATGGAGGGAACGATGCGGATCTTGAATGTGTCCGAAAAATATTTGCCCTCTTTATCGGTTAAGGCTGCAAATGGCACTTGGTACATGCAAGAATCAGGGACTATTATGATCTCTGGCTCCCTCAGTAAATCGGCCACAGAGGCGATGATTATGTTGTGACACAGGTGGAGATTCGTTTTAGTGATGTCTTTTGCAGGGTTACAGAAGCTTTCCTTTAAAAACTTGTCTAAGTCAGGGACTAATCCGGTCAATTCATTTTTGTTCGGGCTTGCTTCCTTTTTTATAAAATGAATAGCTCCTTTTGCTTTGAGAATCCAAAATCGTACATCTGCTTTACCAACTGAGATGTAAAGGCATGTAGAGTCACTCTCCTTCATGATAATGTTCTGAATGCCACACCAAGATTGTGGATTGCCTGAAATCTGCTCTTCAATACAGAACTGAGCTGCCATTAAGTCGGCTAGACCTCTTGCCCGTTTCAGCTCTTCGACGTAAAGAGCATCTTCTGAACTCCCGATGGAGGAAAGCAACCAACTAAGCAACTGGTAGATAGAGGCGCCGTGCTCCTCTAAGAGAGATATTTTAAACTGATCGCTGTCTTTAATAAAACCCCGCAAAGTATCGAACTTTTCAGTGCAGCGATAAAGGTACGAAAAGGCCCCTTTACGGTCAAATTGTGATAGCCTCAACACTGCTAGATTACAAAGGCATTTCAACTCAATAGGATTGCGTCCAATATCCTTACTTAAAAGGAGACCCTTCTTAAGGTATTCTTCAGCTAGGTCATAATTACCGAGTGAATTAAAACATACTCCTAAATTAAAGTATTCTGCTGCTTCCTCATCTCTGTGGCCCATTTTCAAGTGAATGGCGAGAGCTTTCTTGTGATATTCTTCAGCTTTAATATATTCACCACGCTGCAAAGAAATAAGGCCAAGGTTTCTGTAATCTGCTCCTTCTCCTGCTCTGTCACCGATTTTCATTCTTATTGCGCGTGCTTTCTTTAGATAATCGTCACCCTTTGAAAACTTACCACTCGATAAAAACAAAGCCGCCAGGTTTCCATAAATACTAACCTCAGTTGCTCTGCAGGGAATACTCTTTGCGATCAAAAGCGCTGCGTCGAAATATCTAAAAGCCTTATCATGCTCACCAAGCGATCCGAACAATGTTCCTAGGTTTGCGTACCTTGCTGCTTCTCCTCCTTTGTCACAGATTTCTATACTAATAGCGAGTGCTTTTTCTTGATACTCTTGGGCCTTGTCATATCTACCAAGAGCATGGAACAATGTTCCAAGGTTTCCGTAGCTTGCTGCTTCTCCTTTCTTGTCGCCTATTTCTATTCTGATAGCGAGTGCTTTTTCTTCATACTCTTGGGCCTTGTCATATCTACAAAGAGATTGGAACAATGTTCCTAGGTTTCCGTAGCTTGCAGCCTCTCCTTGTTTTTCGCCGATTTCTTTTCTGATAGCAAGTGCTTTTTCTTGATACTCTTGGGCCTTGTCATATCTACCAAGAGTTCGGAACAATGTTCCTAGGTTTCCGTAGCTTCTAGCCTCTCCTTCTTTTTCGCCGATTTCTTTTCTGATGGCGAGTGCTTTAAGAA